TACAATCAACCAAAAATTATTCAGACAGCTGTCAATATTTACACAACTATCAATACTTTGTCGGGTGACCCGTAGCCTTAATGACAGCCTGTAGTCTCCTGGGCATGCGGTCAACCAGCTTCATGCAAACCTCAACTTCAATTTTTTCCCAGACTCGGTCTGAATAATTTTTGGTCCCAAATTTGTATCAGTTTTACTGGTAGTCCACTGTATGAAGAATTTTTAGGTATAATATATCACAGTTTAGTTTATTTTGCTATCCTCACTTACATAAATGAACTATAGTGTCCTGCACCCACTAGTAAAAAAAATATAATATCTGGTCTCTGAATAATTTTTGGTTTGACTATATCCTTTGGTTATTTTCACACTTAATTATGCCCATTACAATGTATTTTACGAGTTTTTGTTACTTTCACTGTTCATTTTTTAGCTCTATGGTACATCATCTATAATTTAATAGCATTAGAGCTGCTCCACTGCAGTGGCTTAGTACTGTAATCATGCAATTTGCTGTAATAATGCAGGGAACCACTCGTTATAAATCTCCTAACTGTGATATTTTCAGAAATAGAAGTCTTTTTCCAAAGCCACTCATATAATGCAGAAACACTCAAGCAAGCAAAACACGTGCAACGCGTGCAGGTATTTGTACTGATGCAGAATAGTACAGCCTAGCGCATTTCACACAGGCTGCTAGATTCACTTTCGCCAGAAAGTCGTGTATGCCTAAGGTTGAAAATAATTGATATTTATAGTGAATGACCCTATGAATGGTCTTATCTTTATGATTTAGTTTTAATCCAAATGATGCGTGTGCTAAGTGAGCGAACATCAAAGATCACACAACAGAAGTGTGCGCGCTCGCGCTCTCTCTCTCTCTCTCTCTCTCTCTCTACCGTTAAGTAATTTGTGCATTGTTTTACTTACTTGTTTTTGACGTATCCGACCGAACTACAAGCTTTCCAGTGATGTCTGTGAGAAAGGGATATTCACTCGACAAGCTCGCGCATCTGCGCCGCCGCTTTGTCTGAATATGGCACTTATCACATGCTGTGTGGTATCGGCGTTTGGTATCGGGGCATTTTAACGAGTACGAGTACAGGAGCTCAGTATCGGGCATCCCTAATATATACACTACCGTTCAAATGTTTGGGATCAGTAAGACTTGTAATGTTTTTTAAAGAAGTCTCTTATGTTCATCAAGGCTGCATTTATTTGATCAAAAATACAGAAAAAACAGTAATCTTGCAAAATGTTATTATAATATAAAATAATGGTTTCTATTTTAATATCCTTTTAAATATAATTTATTTCTGTGATGCAAAGCTGAATTTCCATCAGCCATTACCTCCAGTATAAAGTGTCACATGATCCTTAAGAAATCAAATATGCTGATTTATTATTAGAATTATCAATGCTGGCAACCGTTGTGCTGCCAAATATTGTTTTGGAAACTGCAATACTTTTTTCAGGATTCTTTGATGAATAAAAAGTTAAAAAGAAAAGCATTTATTCAAAATATAAATATTTTCTAACAATATAAATCTTTGCTATCACTTCTTAACAATTGAACACATCCTTGCTGAAAAAAAGTTTTAATTTCTTAAAAAAAAAAAAAAAGAATGAATAAAAATTTACGGACCCCAAACTTTTGAACGGTAGTATATATTGTTAGAAACGATTTCTATTTTAAATAAATGCTCTTTTTCACAATATTACAGTTTTTCCTGTATTTTTGATCAAATAAATGCAGCCTTGATGAGCATAAGAGACTCCTTTAAAAAACCTTATAAATCGTTCTGATCCCAAACTTTTGACCAGTAGTATATATATATATATATATATATATATATATAGCTAATTAAATTGACTATAGGTGAACCCTAAACACATTCTAACTGTACCCCGAAAATGTTGTACATTTTTAAAATTCAAAAAACAAAGAAAGAAACACCTACCCAATTGAAGACGACCCCGAAGGAAAGTTACTTTATGTCTAATTTAGCTCACTTTTGGTGAATTTTCTCGCAAATGCTCACTTCAGACTAACACATAATCGCATTCAGTTTGGCATTATAAATGCTTACTCTAGATTACAGTTTGGCTAAAACTAGATTATCTCTCTGTTCTGTGGGTCACTAGGCCCAATTAAGGTCAAACACATTCCCAATGACTTGACTGTTTCATTATGGCATATTTAACCCTGGCATCACCCAAATGAGAGCGTGACGCAGAAGTGTCTTACCTTCTCTGCTGTGTTCCCTTCCTGTCGATGGAGCCCAGACTCTGAAACACACACAAACACAACGTTACCACCAAGTTACAGAGATACAGTCATCTCTAAACACTGCAGTCATTTAACAGATTATTACACTCCGGAATACTTGATTCTGATTGGTCAATTACAACATTCTGTGGTCAAATAATCACACTAAATCAGTTGACCCACCAACTCCTACATATGTCTCACTTTCTTCTCACATAATCCAGTAATTTAAACTTAAATTAGTATTTCATGTCCATTTATTTATTAATTTGGTAAGCAGCCGTGAAATAAGTTGGTTCACACACAGTCAGATAGTCTCTAGTACCCTACCAAGGTACTAGGTCCGTCTGTCCGTCCATTGATAGTTGAATAACGGACGGACAGAGAGACAGACAGAGATAGATAGATAGATAGAGCGGCAGATGGATGGACGGACAGACAGACAGACAGATAGATAGAGCGGCAGATGGATGGACAGACAGACAGATGTGGTGACATTTGAAAGGGTGTGTGGTTGTTTCAAAGCTAACAGCTGGAGTCAGGATGATCACCGCTGTGATTCTGACCTTCACCTGTCAGAGTCTCTGACACAGAAAAACACTGAATTATGACATCTAAAGTATGATTTTAAACCTTCACTCATATAAAGTTATTCATACGCCTGTTAACCTCTGATGATGATGATGTTCTTCCTCTGCCACTGTGAGTACCGCGTTTCTACAGTCAAGTATCAAGCGCCGCAATCACAGCAAATGAAATCCCAGAACACCATCTCCAGTGTTCAGACTTTTCACACCTCAGCAGCCTCAAACCACACGAATTAGCCATTCATCAGCGCAAACGAGTGCTGTGACAAAAGCGTAACCACCATATGAGAACTTCTCACTGAGAGCATCACTCAACACAGCATGTCGACACGCATCGAGTGTGATTTGAGTGCAAAAACAAAACTACTCAACACACACACACACACAGTCCTCAGGCATTCTGCTAATCACATACCTGTGCAGTTCCAGTTTCACCTGTCGCACTCGCTTTTCCTTCACTTCAGGTACAGACAAACTAAAACACACACAGCGTCTGTCTCGCTCTCGCTGCTGGAGGTGTTTTAGTGTTTTATCAGCCTGTTTCTCTGCTATTGCTGACTTGGTGTACTTTAATTGTGGTTGCCAGGCGATAAGCTTCACTAACTGTGCAGTAAACAGAAAAAGAGAGAGAGAGAGAGAGAGAGAGAGAGAGAGAGAGGGAGGGAGAGAGAGAGAGAGAGATAGAGAGGGAGGTTCTAAACGGTGCTGAATACTAATTGTTGCAACAATAAAAGTTAAACTAAAGGTCAGTGGCGCATCACACTTAGTGTTTGTGCAACAAAACCGCTCAGTGTCACTTTTCACGTCACTTTTACTCATTAGTGAGCAGGTTCTGATCAATCTATCATCAATGTTTCACTAACTAGTTTTATTCTCCATATGAAATGACCTTAAACTGCCTAGAACATCACCCGTCACTTTTCCTGCATGGATTTATTTTTATTTGACATTTGGTTAATGCAGCAGCGCAGGTGAGCGGGTATGAAATTTGGATTTGTTCACATCGGCTCCTGATTCACTCGTTTATCTTTTTATGTGATGCCGTTTCTCTTTTGTTCCATTGATTTAGTTAAAGCGGCATCATTAGCAGCTCTTCAAATATTCCTTCAGAAGCTTCGATTCAAACGTGAGTTTTGAGCAGTGTAGAGTAGCGCTTGTTTGTCATTTCTCCGATCACAAATGCAGACATGGTTTTATGTTTACGTGGCGCGATGCAACGCGTAAAAAGACAGTATAAGTCATTATAATCCGTAATTATGTCCCCACTGGATGCAACAAATGCCTCGTTTATAATGGGTTTTAATGTTTTTGTCTCGTCGCTCCGGCCGGACAGGGCATCACAGTATGGTGAGGGGCGTAACATTTCCGTCACACGCTTGAGGTATTCGGCCAATCACAACACACTGGATAGCTGGCCAATCAGAGCACACCTCGCTTTTCAGACCGATGAGCTTTGTAAAAATCAACGCGTTTCAGAAAGGCGGGGCATAGTGGAGAAACAATAATATACAGTATGTGAAAAATAATGTTTTTTGAACCTTAAACCGCATAAACATTTCATTACACCAAATAATGTTCTTTTTAGCAGCATCAAATGACCCCTTTAACTGTGAAAGAATATTTGATACTGTCACAATCACCAGCAGGAGTGCCCTTGATAACCACCAGAGGGCACTCAATCCCATAGCTCTGTCACTCAGTCTTGGACTTAATTTCCCATAATCCTTTGCCTGGACACATCAGCACTCATTGTTTGCACCTGTGTCTTGTTAACCCTGTCTACTAACCCTATATATAGCCTGGTTCATTCAATCACTCATTGTGAGGTCTTGCGTGTCATGTACTGCATTTCTGAGCCGTTATGTCTTGGTTTGTTCTGGGGGGTATTCCAGAAAGTAGGTTATGTGACATACCTGGGTATATATATATATATAGATGTATGTGTTAATTATAAAGTGCTAATATAAGTAATAAATAAGGTAATATTATTCTAATATGATATTGTTATATTTATTTTATTGGCATAGCCTATATAACGGTTATCTGTATAAATTATAGAACACTATTATGACAAGGTAATGTTTAATTTATTATATTATATATATTTATTACTTTTTATGTTATCATCTCACACATTGGTCGGCATTTTTTATAATGTATTTCTATAATAAAAATACATATCTGATATGACTTAATATATAATTAGCCTCAAACAAATGATACAATTCTTATACTCAAGGATTGAAGATTAAATGGAAAAAAATTTAAATGATTGCACAAACATCGATATGCATGGAGCATGTAAATGACCATTGAACAAAAGAAGATAGAAACAGCATGGCGCGCTTTTTCTTAGCGTCCGTTGATGTATGTGTTAATTATAAAGTGCTAATATAAGTAATAAACAAGGTAATATTATTCTAATATGATATTGTTATATTTATTTTATTGGCATAGCCTATATAACGGTTATCTGTATAAATTATAGAACACTATTATGACAAGGTAATGTTTAATTTATTATATTATATATATTTATTACTTTTTATGTTATCATCTCACACATTGGTCGGCATTTTTTATAATGTATTTCTATAATAAAAATACATATCTGATATGACTTAATATATAATTAGCCTCAAACAAATGATACAATTCTTATACTCAAGGATTGAAGATTAAATGGAAAAAAATTTAAATGATTGCACAAACATCGATATGCATGGAGCATGTAAATGACCATTGAACAAAAGAAGATAGAAACAGCATGGCGCGCTTTTTCTTAGCGTCCGTTTCCATAGTCATAGTCATACTCATCGATTCATCGCTCTGTTGAGAATGTCTCGAGTCTTAACCAGGAATATACTCTGGGTTGAGTGAACTTACTCCTGAATGCGTTTTTGGAACCACATACCTCGAGTAAGCAAGGTTTTGGGTTAATCAACTGAAAGTTCAGGGTTTAGAAGATGGTAAGTTAACCGTGCTTTCTGGATACACCCCTGGATTACTCTTTTCTGTGTTTCTTGTTATTGTTTGGACTGTTTTGCTGGTATATGACTTTTGCCTGTGTTTGGATCACAATTGTGGATTACACTCTGAATAAACACTGTGTTTGGATCATCAGTCTTTGCGTCTCGGAGCAGTTCATGACAGATACACCAACAGACAATCATAATACACTTATTATAAATTATCTTATTGACTTATTTTAGAAAATAAAAATATATTTCAATTATTTTTAATTTTATAATTTAAACACTCTTCAAATATACTTCTCTACTAAATGTACGTTTACATATTTTATATGTATACGCATTAAAAAATATATGCACTTTACATGCATATACAATTTACAGAATATTAGATTTTTAACTGTGAAAGAATATTTGATGCATTAACAAATAATCACAATAATATACTAATTAATAATGACGTTTTTAGAGATAATAGCTTTTTAGGAAAAAAAATAGTTTTCACACTTTTTGAACAATATTCATGACTTTTCCTTGTTTTAGAACGATTACTCACGAGTTCATGATTTTATCTGCAGCATTTAAAAATGCAAAAATTACTATTATCATTTAGAATTTAGATTTAAACAGATCAAGCTTTATAAACCTCCATGCATGAACAGGAAAATTCACATTCACTATAGAAAATGTTAACATTTTTGCAGGACTGGAAATCGCAATTTTAAAGGCCCTAAAAAATAAAAAGTACAAAACGTCATTATATTATTCACAAATTTCTACACTAGAAAAGTCATTCTGAAAGGCAAAGTCACATGACAAGTCTATTCCAGTTTCCAGTCAGGCTTCCTGGTTAATCCACCTAAAACACAAGCACAAATCGAGTGTGTATTTGTGTGTCTATAGGAGGGAAGCGATGCCTGCTGAGGTTGCCATGGCAGCAGTGTCTCGACCAATCCGAAAAAATAATCTCTCTATATAATATTTTTATATTAAAATTTTATTTGATTTTAGGGTTGATTTTGGGTTTTTAGAAACATGTATATTCTAGGAACATACTTAAATTTTATTACACTTGACATAAATCATTTTAAGATCCATAAGAGAAAGATCCATCATAAGTTGAAGATCAGTAAAAAATATTTATCTGTGAATATTTCTATATATTATTACATTTCTAATATTTCAATCTGTGCACAACATTTAAAACATCTAAATGAAATACCTGAAAAACAGCCTCATAAGTCCCAGTAAAGAAACTGTAGTAAAACGACATCAATACCTAAATAAACTCAAGTGAACTGATCCTGAGGACTGTTGAATATGTGAAAGCTCTGATTTGTTGACGTGTTTGCTTTAGCCAGCATGCGTGCGTGTGTGCGTGCGTGTGTGTGTCTGATAGGCTCGCGCAGGGTTAGTAGCGATCTCCGATTATTTGCTGACACAAGAGGAAAACTCATTTTG